TTAAATTCTTAACCCACTAAATAATTTTTCAATTTTCCATATATATAATTAGTGAAACTTTTAAGATTATTATTTATTTATATTTAAAGAGAATCACAAATTTTTAGTATTTTTTTTCTTATATCTAATTATATTATATATATACATATATATTATTTATTTTTATATATTATCAATTAAATTTGGTTTGGATTTAGATCAGGGAGGCGATATCTGCCTCCCGTCTCACCCCCGTTACAAGTGACCAAAATATAATTCACTCTTATCCTATATAAGTGTCAAATCAGATAAAATCTATTCCATTCAAAAACATATAAACCAGTCCCGTGAATCAGACTAAAATGGCCATCCAATCTGTCTCTCACACGCACACACTCAAACATGGAGACACAAATGACACATTATAGGTTAGAGTTTGCTTTGCTGTCGATCATAGAGAGAGAGAGAGAGAGAGAGAGGGTGAGGGAGAGAGTTTCTCGTTGGATATGAATCACATGATGAGATATTTTTAACACTTTCTTGTACATGATCTCTCTCCTTTGATCACAATCCTCTTCAGATCCATCAACATTCAACTGGGGATTTCCCCAGATTTTACGTGAAAAAGTAAATAATCAGAGCTGCCCACTTGACCCTGCATGCCTCTCTCTCAATCTCTTGAGAAGATCTTCCCCATCCATTACCTTTTCTTTCGCCAATATTCATGCAAACTAACTTAAATCTATTTTCTCTTATCATCATGAAAAATGTTTGGGGGCCCTAATTCTGTGGCTCAAATGTGGCTCAAATAGCCAAAACGACGTCGTTTTGGCCATTTTGATGTTGTTTTGTACTCAAAACGACGTCGTTTTGGCTATTTGAGCCACAGAATTTGAGCCCTCTATCATCATTTAAAAAAAATTAAATTAATTTTTTTTTTATTAAAAAATGATCAGTTTTTGAGTAATAGTAATAAAATCTAAAGTCTTGAATTCTTTTCACCCTACTAAATAACTAAAAATTTGACTAATCGTTAACTTTAAGATCTCAAAATTAATTAAGATATACGTAAAACACTTGACTATAAAAAAAAATAAATAAGTTTTTTGTTAGTTCAACTCATCAATTTGTTAAAGAAGCATGCAAGTTCACCAAAAACATGGCAATAATTAGTAGCATAACAAAGATGAATTATTTTCTTTTAATTTTTTTTTTCATGCTTGGAATCTTATTATTATTATTATTATCTAAAATGCTATATCAAATAACATGATATACAGAAGATACCTATAACATTATTGAAAGGTTACGCTTGGATCACCGCATTTGAAAAAACAGCCAATCCCATAAAATATGACTCATATATTTACTAATAGTAATGTGACAAGAGATTGGGTCTTAAGTGATTAATTTTTAAATCAATCAATAAAAACAGTCTATATCATTATTTTAATGATTTAAGGGTTTGTTTGATTAGGCTGATTATAAAATAAAATTGAGATTATTAGTTTATAGGACTCACATTTATTATTTATTTGCAAATTTTATTATTCGGATTAAATTTCAATAGTCATTCTATCTAACAAAATCGATGCATTTTTTTAACCCCACGACTAATAATACAAAACATACATGTTATTGAAATTATATATTTCTATATCTATTACAAAACAAATGTGGATAGGAGAGATAAGAGAAATTATGTAGCTCATTAATCCAACTGGATTAATTACATGAATTATTAATACTCTCACTATTAATCGTGTTAATCAAACAAATGGGAGAACTTTTTTTTCCCAATTTTTATTAGCAATAGGGATGATGGTGGCTCCTTCATGAAAATGCATGCAACAGTCAACATTAGCAGAGAAGCTATGTTTGGGAATTTGTTTAGTGATTTTTAAATTTTTTATGAAAAAATATATAAAAAGAATAATGTGATAATTTATAATAAATTTTTTTAATTAAAATTCATAGTTTCCAAACAAGACCTTATAATATCTAGTATATAACTAATCATGCAAGGCTAGTCCCAAAAAAATCAATTAGTAATCAAGAATTGCTATATAGTCCCTATACCCCTAAAATAAAACCCCTTCAATTTCAAACAAACTTTGGAGAGAATGAATTGACTGCGAAAATAATGGGACACAATTTATTCCCCCAGTACCCCCATGCACGCCATGACCCCCGGTCTGGTCTGCACCCGCTTTCGATGCCGAATTCTAAGGCTCTCAAATATTATATTTGTATTTTTTTTAATATTATATTTGATTTATTGAAATTAAATAAAATTGAATAATTACTTCGTCATAATATCCATTTCCACGTTTAGTTTACTACGCAAATGATAAAAAAATATTGAATTATCATTCACTTTTGTGATAGAATAATTATTCTATAAAGAGACTAATAGACGACCATTCCATCACATACAGTTCCATTTCAGTAAACCAAGTATTACATTGTGGTATTAATAGTTTAAAATGAAGTTTATCTAAAAAAATTTAGTTATTTGTTAAATTTATGAATTCATTCACTTTTGTGAGAGAATAATTATTCTATAAAGAGACTCATAAATGACCATTCCATCACATTTATAGTTTCATTTCAGTAAACCAAATATTACATTGTGGTATTAGTAGTTTAAAATGAAATTTGTCTAAATTTTTTTAGTTATTTGTCAAATTTATGAATTGATTATAGACTATTATAGACTATGCTAGTTACATTACATTCAATTAGCTACTCAATAACAAACCCTCAATAGAGGTCCACAGAGAGACTAGGTGATTTCCGGCGGTATTCCGGTAATATTTTGGTGATCCATTTTACATTTTTAAAGTATAGATCTAAAGTTTTAGAGTGTAGATCTGAACATTTTATGTCCGAAATAGGAGCTTTGAGTTTTTTCTCCTCCGATTTCAGCATAGATTTTTAAATTTTCAACACCCACAATGATTCTCTCTTCTCTCAAGCCTTCTCCCATACCATTGTGGGTGTACTTCTTTCTCCGGCGATGGTGGTGGTGGAGTTGGGCAGCAGCGACGGGGACGGCAGGCTTTCAAGCAAATCTTGCTTTCTAGACTATATCTTTGAACAGGTCAGTGGTTTTCCCTGGATCGTAGCTGTTTTTTTGATGAAATTATATATATTTTTTTTGTTGTTTGGTTGAGATGGCCCTTAGGATCTTATTTATGTATTGTTATTGTTTTATTAATATAATGTTTCCCATGTTCTCAAAAAAAAAATTAGCTAAATATTTTTCTTGAATAAATTAATAATGAAACCCATTGAGAATGTCTAAAATTTATCTCAATAATTATAATTTATATCTATCTTAATAACTGTAATATATATCAACTTTAAAAATCATATGAAATTGCTTGGGAAGTACAATATTATTATGATTGTAAAAAAATAAATTATAATTGATTCCATTAATTAAAAAAAATTATAATACACTATGTTTAGATTAGATTTATCACTTAATATTTTATGTGGATAAAAAAACTAGTAATTTTAGTTTTAACCTAAACAAAGTTTGTATGGATACAAACAATACAAAAAAATAAAATAAAATAATGATGCTTATTATTTTATCAATTAATCAAATTTTTTCTTTTTAAAATATGTATGGAGATACTATTTTTGAGTTCGCCTTGAGTCTCAAAAGTCAAGGCTGTCTGGCACTAGTATGAGATAAATGACGAAACATATCTAAAAGTTTTGATAATGAGATTTTATTTATAAAAAATTGAGACACCCAAATATATTCCAATGATGCCCTCAATGATGTGGTAAGGAAGTGATAAATCAAAAGTTCTCAAGCATTTTCCTTTGAGAAGAGTAATGGTTCTATTTATAAATGATGATTCTCTTAAAAAAAATCTTGATTTCATTCACCATTCAAAAAAATCTTGATTTCAGCACAAACAAGTTGTTCCACGCCTATATTATGATACTTTTTTTTATTTTTATTTTTACTCCCCAGGATTTTTTCAGAATGGTAATTGCCTATTGAAGCCTTGTCATACAATATCACAAACATTACATTGCATTTTCATAAATGCCTTTCAGCTGCATTTCATTTTTAATTTTTAATTTTTGATTTTTAATTTTTAATTTTTTCATCTCTACATTTTGTATAGCTACGTCCCCATATTAATAGCATCATAACCTTTAATTTCCATTTTATTTTCTTTGATCCTCATATTCGGTGGTCTTAACACGTATCCCGGATTCTTAACACAGTTGATGCACTCTCTCAATTTGCTTCAAAATCTTGTGTAGCCCAATGATTTATCCATGTCCATTTGACAAAGTTCAATGGACTCCATTTTAGGAAGATTGCCACCCCCACCGCCAGCCTCAACGTTAGCCTCAGCCTCCGGTGATAGAGCGTGGGCTGGGTTGCCACTCCCCTGCGCGCGGTTTGATTCCCCCAGCAGGGATGGGCAATCCATCTTTACCTGCTTTAAACTTTTCCAAAATTGAGTTTTTAACTTCCTAAGTTCATGAAAAATTAAACAAAAACAAAAAATAATTAAAAAAGAAAAAAAAAAGAAAGAAAAGAAACCACATTGCGGGTATGATTGGTCTGAAGTTGACAGGCCCTACAAGAGAACCAATGATACGCCCACCAAATGAGTTGGTCCATGTCTACTACTCAAATCCAAGAGCGTTACTCAAAAAACATGTGGAATGAAAGAATTAAAAATCCAAACACAGTACAATGTAGTAGCTGCCAGTTTTACTTGCTAATGAGTCCTTTGATAACCCCCTTAAGTGCTTGATTTCGAATGTTACCTATAGATTTTCTCTGAAGTGCATTCGATTTAAAATTCAATTTAAAAATTCAGTTCTAAAAAATTCCGGCACTACAAAATTCAACATCGTGGGTTTTCGCTTACGTTTTTAGTTTTCTATCATCTATGTGCAATGCTCTTCCACAACTCAAAAGAGATCATTATTAAAGATTTTATGCCCTTCAATTCAGAACTTCAATGGAGGAAAGTTCTAACAGGAAAACAAGAGCTATGTACTTTCCACACAACAAAAATATGGATCTTCAGCATTGAAAAAGAAAAATACTCTATATACAAAGCCATCTTGAGAATGCTTAACAATAGACAACATGGAAAATGACGGGAATATATGGTAAAATAGGCAATTAATTTATTTAAGCTGTTAAGGTGGTGTAACAGCAGCTTGTCGCTAGATGGAAAATATTATTAAAACCTAATTGGAGGCAGCATTCTTCCTTGCAGTGTAGGAACGATAGGCTGCCAATCCAACCACAGCAACAGCAGCCCCAACTGCAATATATACACCATAAACAAATTCAAACATGCATTAGCCACTACCAAGTTAAAAATGAAAATGATGCTGAGACTGATAATATACCAAATAACCAAAAAGAACACCATATCAGATGACATTTTTTGGTATTTACTGTTGGGCTAATGCAGATTCTAACAAGTACTGATCATTAACCATTCAACCGTGGATCCAACTTCGCGGTCAGTTGTTGGAGGTTGCAGGGTGGCAGTGCCCACTTGCCCCAAGGAGGGCGGTTTCAGAAGTAAGGGTGTTTATGGTATTCCGCATTTGTGACCTATTATTGCCCTAATTTCCATGTATTTATAGTTGAGGAAAGACAACTAAACCTCGTGTTATTCGTGTGTGTGTGTGTGTGTGTGTGACATTTATCTTTCTTGTATGTTTTTCCGTTTCTATGTTTCATGTTTCACCAATCCTAATTAGGTGTTATGAACTCCTAAGATTTACTGGGGTCTAGATTTTCAAAGAACAAAATACATACCTGAAACTAACATGAGAGAGCGATTAACAATCTGCCGGTAGTGCTTCTGGTTTCTCCCAATTTCGGTTTCAGGAACACTTAAATGAGGGGTCACAGCTGTGCTTACAATTCTAGAGAATACGTTATTCAAATCTCTTTCCTTCACACTGATATGAATCGGTACATCAATCCCCATATCCTGACAAATCTGGAATAAAGAATTGAGATTGAAAAAAAGTAAGCATACATGCTGCATCGAATAAAATCAAGAATTAAAAAAAGCAATTTTTATTTGTCTTCATTTGGGAACCGCAGAGGTGAAGGTGGAGACGGAAGAAAATGCAGCCAATAGAGGTAAAATACCTTTGCTGAATCTTTTGTTGCCATTGGATACGAACTCAAATCATCCTTGGCTGCAATTAAGAGGGAAGGCACCCCAAAACCAGTTTCTTCTCCACGCCTAGTCACTTCCATTAGTAATTCTGATGTTCTCTTTAAAGAATATTCATCCGAACTAACAAAGAAAGACAAATCGATGTCATTCTATCACGATATTATTTTTGAAAAGGAAAAGGAATAAAAAATCCTATGAGTAAGAAAATTGAGGAATAAAAGGTAAGGAGGCTGAAGACATTAATCCAGCAAATGATATAAAAAAAAAATTTTAAAAAAAAAAGAAAAAACAAAAGAGCACCGCCCACAAGAAAACACGCGATAATTGAGGTAAAATTCCATATACTTGATCATTGATGAAACGATACACAAATAATAATTCTCTCTTCAACAAATTTGACTGGTTTACCCTTTTTTGGCAAATCCTTTCCACAAATGTGATTATCTCATGGTTACTTATTTCCATGAAACATACCAAAATTATGCCCACCTATCATAAACAAAAACCGCCACATCACAAGCTGCCAGGGATTCCTTGTTGGACAAAAGTTTTTTAACTCTGTCTTCTTGAATCTCCCGCAGTATAAGAGTCTTCTTAGTTCCCTGCAATGCCCAAAGTATGTCACAAACAAATCCACATAGTTTGAATTCCAAATGACTCAATATAGAGAAGCAAATGTCAATACTGATTTGACACAATGACAGTAGTGTATCACAAACATGGTTGCATGGTTTGATGCTTAAGTACTGAGAGAGAGAGACAGAGAGATTAATCAAATCAATAGCTCAGACTACACTAGTACTGATTTTCTTACCCCAAACTGATCAACAAGGTTTGCTACATAATGCTCCTCAGTTGTTGAAGTATAATTGTCTGAGAAAGGCCTGTAGATGGAATCAGCAACAAGAAAATTATACAGCTAAATGGCTTGGAAGAAGAAAGACATGGTGGTTAAAATCTGAACTGATCCTAGATCCTAGCATTTTGACTAAACTAAGGGTTCAGATTAAACCTTCCCAGAAATGCCTTCAGTAATGCAGATTTTCCAGCATTTTTTGGCCCAAAAACAAAGCATTGGAAAACATTTCTGTCTGTCTGTTGCTTCTTACGATCAATTGATCTTCTCCTAGTAAGACGGAGTGCTGATGCAGGATCACTTGTATATCCAATACATATCAAATTAGCCATACTTTGAGCTGGGTCCAGTTGAGTCATAAGGGCCCACTGCAATCATGTGCAGATGAGGGAGGCAATTAACATATAGCTCAAGAAAGAAAATGCCTGTTTAAAATACTCTATATATCGAAAGTCCATACTATTGCATGAACAACCTGCTGTGGAAATAAAAAATTACAAGAAAAAAAGGCCCTCCCATATAAGGTATGTGTTTTCAACCGAGTGAGCCTTATAAGTCTCTGCCCTCTACCTTTTGGTGATGAGTGTCTAGGTTTGGATTTCTCTGGGCTTAGTGCGGATGTGTATCAGTCTTCTTTGCATGTCAGGAAAAGAAAGAAGGAAAAAAAGGAGAGAGAGAGAGAGAGAGAACAACTGCTACCTCAAAGATAATTGAGTAAGCACATTATTATACAATCTATAATCATTTCAATTAAAGAATATGCAAATTTAAATGTGCTGCACCAAATCAGATTCAGAAAATCAACTATTCTTCCCATAGAGGTGCCAGAATAAATAATGAGAAAAATAAAAATATACAAATAGTCCTACTTTTCTCAAAGAAGAACAATTTAGTCCTATCAATTTCAAAAAGACTCCCATAAAAGTCCTATTTTTCCTATATTCCTCTTTTTACCTGTAGAATTTTAATATGAAATACCATTGACATGTTTCTCTCTCTCTCTCACCATTCATTTTACTTTCTGAATTCCATCCACTACTAATTAAAGAGGTGGGGAAAACTAGAAGCCGCAAGAGACTAAATTGTGGTGGTTTTGATTTATGTGCCATGATGTTTCTAGTGTATGAGAAGCTAAAATGTCATCTATCCTATTTATGATTTTAGACTAATTGAATTTGATCATTTAACTATGAGTAGAAGCGTAATTAATGTCCATGAGAAGAAGTAAAATTGGAAGAAAGTATAGTATTGATGTAGTTTTGAAGGGAGCTTCTATTGACACCCCCTATTTTTCTATTTCTTTTTATTACAATTTTACCCCCCTCAATAAAATTACTTTTTCGGACAAAAATCCCCTAGATCCACCACCCCTTCTATTGACCACCGCCGCTGCTCCTCTACCCACTTCATTGACCACTGCCACCACCCCATTCACTGTCTCCCCAGCCCCGCATCACCCTTCCCCACCTGCACTCTCCACCTTCAACCCCTTCTCTCCCCACCCCGCAGGCCCCACCACTTGTAACCTTAGCTGCCACCTTCAAAACACAAGTCACCACCTGTAGACACTCCATTTTGACCAACCTTAAAATTTGGACGCTTTCTGTTGATTACTCGATGATGACAATTAGAATGTGTTTCTCACAAAATCCTCAAAAGACAGATGAAACTTGAGCTTTAATCCAAATTTTCACACATTTTCGGCCAAATTATTTTTAGAACTTAAAACCCTCTTTTCAAAATATTTTTCCAAATGTTTCTACAATATTCTGAGGCTCCCATTTTGATTAAAATATTGCACTTTTCAGTAAACCAAGTAAGGATAAAATGGAAATAAATGAAAGGGAGGTGAACTCTTTGAAAAATATTTAAAAACATATTCTTTATAGGTTTGGAGTTGAAGGAAACATGAAGAGGTGAAAGAAAACTGGTTTAGGAAAAGCATGAGTATCAAATCGTTAAGCAATAAATGAACAGTTTTTACTAAATTAGGCATATCTCTTTGTACACTTGAAATTTAGATGTGAGGCCACCACCATTGGAAAGTAGACTTTTGGGACTTCAATTTTGACTCAAGAATCACCTAAAATTGAGTCTGGATAAGGGAGATATACCCGTTTGAAGTCGCACCTAAGAGCATATTTTGTTGACCCGGCCCGAGACAGCAGCAGACCTTTTTTTTTTTTTTTTTTTTGGTTTTGGTTTTGGTTCTGTTGGAACACCCCATTGACCCATTTTATGATCCATTCAAGTGCACACACTCATCCTCCATTATCTCCACTCACCCTCCATTATCAAAAGAGGTTTTGGCCCTATCATAAAGGATGAATCAAAAGCAGCAAAGTCTTGATCATCATTATCATCCTTGTTGTTAGAATTTACCTACACCTACCACCACCTACTACCACACCTACTACACCTACCACCAATTTACCCTCACGGGCACGCAAGCCAAGGCGCCCACGTGCCTCGCCATCATGTCCGGCACACCTTTTGATAAATTGGGCACGCCTTTTGATGGCACTTGTTTTGTTCCTCTCTTCAAACTCAAGTTGGTTAGTTTCTATCCTCCTTGAGTTTGCGGGGGGCTGTTAGAATTTACCATCACCTACTCCACTAAACCTAACCCACTACACCACTACCACCTCACCTATTCCACTAAACCTAACCCACTACACCACTACCACCTCACCTACTCCACTAAACCTAACCCACTACACCTACATCTATATAAGGAACCATTTGTAATATAAATCAATAAATCAATAATACATGGATTTTAACACTTGTCATCCCCATCACCTTTGTCTTCCACCTTGTCCCCCATTCCTTGACGTGTTTATTTCTTCAAGACTTATACATTCAGATTGTATATTGAAGAGGGAGAGGATGGAATGAAGAGAAAAAATCATTCGAGAGAGTTAGAGAGAAAAGAGAGCAAAAGAGGAAAAATTGTCTAAATTGTAACCTTGAGCCAAAACACTTCCAAGCTTCCATAGCTACTGTATCTAGGCAAACACAGGGACTTTAAGTGCACCAATGCATACAATGTAATAAACATATAATTGAAAATAAAAATCATATAGTAGAGTTGTCAAAAACTGCAACATGCCCGGGGCCGGAGGCACCCATGCGCGTTAAACAGTTCAAACCCTCGACTTCTTTAATCTAGCCTCACAAGTGCAATGTGAAACATAAATGAGAGTCCAGTTTTGGCAACTTTTATAGAAAATCTGTTTTATTGCAAAACCTTTGCCAGAAATGGACTGCATCACCAGATCTTAGAGTCGCCACCTAATGTTTTGGCAAAATTAGGAAACCCGTGACTTGTGCCAAGGCCACTGTTTGTCGTCACCAAAGATGCTTGACTCGAAACCTTAGATATGAGAGGGGAAAGTCATTATTGAGCATCCCCGCTCATCCGATCAAAATATTGGCCTCTACTAAACCATGATATGAGTTTTATTTGCTTTATATGTTTATATTTCGATTTATTTAATAAATCCTAAAAATTTACTATGTAAAGATATAAGTATAGACTATGTCATTCATTTTGGAACAATTTGAGTTCATGTATTTTTTGAAAGAGTTTTGAAGATGCGCGCAACTCAAGGAAATTGAGTTTAAAAACATGAAAATCAATATCATTCCAAATTAAGCGACACAACCTCCATCCACCGGCATTTATAGAGATATATCACATAAGCAAACAACCACATGGTAGGATGCTAAACATAATAAGAAATTATGTACAAGCGGGATGCTAAAGCATAACAACTTACATATTTACTGACGTCCCGCGAATAGCTACAAAACAAAGTTAGTAAAATATGTATTATCCTATATACAAAATCCTAATACAATACACACACAAGAATGCTTCTAAAGATTCAGCTTCTAAAACATGACATGTGAAACATTACAAAACATGCGATAGTACACAAAATCATGTAATAATCAATTAAAGTACAAAGATGCAAATTTAGCCAGATTTAGGCATGAATCATGTATGTAAAAGCATGGATATGCATGGCATGCAAGATATATACATATGTACAGTTAGGAAAAACGATCAAAGAATAAGATAGATAAGAAGTGGGGATGGGAAATTATTTCAACCCTTTAAATATTACAAATCCGAGGGAGATGAATAAATATTACAACACAATATAAAAATCTTCACAAACACTCAAAATAAAATAAACATAAGAAAATAACAGCTTCAAGCGCCTCGAAGACCATCGGAGGTTGATTTTCTCAACGTCGGAAGTGTGTTTTCAAATCCTCAATTCAAAATTATAGAATTTATGGTATGGAAAGTGGCTAACTCTCTAGTTTTTCTTACTTTCAATCACTAAACACTCTTCCTTATGATCAAGGCAATTGATCTTTGGCTATATCAGAATTTTTGGAGTGATTTTGGTGTATAAAAATGGGAAATTTCAATAACTATGGAAGCTTGGAAGTGTTTTGGCTCAAGGTTGCAAGTCAGACAATTTTTCCTCTTTTGCAGTCTTCTCTCACTAACTCTCTCGAATGATTTTTTCTCATTCCATCCTCTCCTTCTTCAATATACAATTTGAATGTATAAGCCATGAAGGAATAAACAAGTCAAGGAATGGGGGACAAGGTGGAAGACAAAGGTGATGGGGATGACAAGGATGATAATGATGATTAAGACTTTGTTGCTTTTGATTCATCCTTTATGACAAGGCCAAAATCTCTTTTGATAATGGATGGTGAGTGGAGATAATGGAGGATGAGTGGGTGCACTTGAATGGATAAGAAAATGGGACAATGGGGTGTCCCAACCGAACCAAAAAAAAAAAAAAAAAAGGGGTTTGCTGATGTCTTGGGCCGGGCCAACAAAATCTACTCTTAAGCCCGACTTCAAACGGGCATATCTCCCTTATCCGGACTCGGTTTTAGGTGATTTTTGAGTCTAAATTGAAGCCCTGGAAATCTACTTTCCAATAGTGGTGGCCTCACATCTAAATTCTAAGTGTATAAAGAGATATGCCTAATTTAGTAAAAGTTGTTTATTTCTTTCTTAATGATTTGATGTTTATCCTTTTCCTAAACCAGTTTTCTTCCATCCCCTCCTATTTCCTTCAACTCTAAACCTATAAAGAAGATGTTTTTAAATATTTTTCAAAGAATTCACCTTCCTTCCATTTATTTCCACTTTGTCCTTACTCGGTTTACTGAAAAGTACAATATTTTAATTAAAATTGGAGCCTCGGAATATCGTAGAAACATTTGGAAAAATATTTTGAAAATAGAGTTTCAAGGTCTAAAATAGTTTGGCCAAAATGGGGCGTAAGGTTTTTGAGAGAAAACTAAATTCCATTTTTCTTGTTGAGGATTT